CCAAGTAGTACACGATCAAAGAAAAGGCAAAACTGTTAATGAAGAGGTTGAAGTTGACGAACAAACTGATGATAAGTCTGATGAAGAGGATGATCCAAATGAGGTAGATTTGTGGAAAAAGAGGAGTATATTCTTCGAGTTGCCTTATTGGAAAAAGAAAATTTTGAGACATAATCTTGATGTAATACATATTGAGAAAAATGTTTGTGAGAATATTATCGGGACCATTCTGAATGATGCCAGAAAATCTAGAGATAATCTTAAGAGTCGACTTGACTTAATGGAGATGGGAATTCGACATGATCTTCATCCGAATGGAAGATATTTCTTGTCGGCTTCTTTTTTTCTCTTTCGAAGAAAGAAAAAGAAGTGTTTTGCACGGTGTTGAAGGATATAAAGGTCCCAGATGGGTATGCATCAACATTTCTCGATCAGTCAGTGTTAAAGATCGAAGACTTTATGGTTAAAGTACATGATTATCACATATTAATGCAAGATTTACTGCCAGTAGCTGTTCGCGGTTGCATGTCGAGTAAGGTGACGTCTTCTATCATTGAACTTTCTAATATAATGAAAGCCATCTGTGGGAAAGTTCTAATGGTTGAAGAACTTGATAAACTACAAGATCGAGTTGCCTTGACTTTATGCAACTTGGAGAAGATATTTCCGCCTTCATTCTTCACAATTATGGTGCATCTGCTAATTCATCTTCCTCACGAAGCAAGAGTTAGTGGACCAGTATTCTATCGATGGATGTACCCTATAGAGAGGTGTTAATTGAATTACACGTTTCAAATTACTACTGATTATACCTTTTAATAAAATGTATTTACATAGTATGTTGTTTTGTGTATAGGTTCTTGGGCAAGTTGAAGTCTTATTGTCATAATAAGCGTATCCGAAGGATCAATTGCTGAAGGGTATTTGGCAGAGGAGTGTATGACATTTTGCTCTAGATATTTGGAAGATGTTGAAACAAGATGGAATAGACCAAATCGAAATGATGTGTTAAGTATTGATGACTTACCTCAACATTATTGTTTGGAAGTTATGGTCAACCATTAGGGAAAGTTGAAATTGCACACTTAGATGACACGTCTTGGGTACAAGCACACCGATATGTTCTTTTCCATCACGATTCAATAGATCCATTTCGCACGTAATCTTTCGGACCCAAGCTATATGAAATCTCTTAATCTTTATATATATCAATTTTTAACGACAAATAATTTATAGTGAGTTTAAAGAAGTCTTGAGATCTCGTGCATGCACCCGAAGATTAATCAGCGAGAGCTACATAAGTTATTCACATAAACTTTTCATGAATGGTTAGGACAGACGGTAAGCAACTAAATCTTAGAATACTTATAATAATATGTCTTGCTTTTATATTGACATCAATGCAAATTAATTCACCATTCATGTGTAATAGGTTGGAGTGGGAGAGAAGTTAGTGAAGATGTTAAATGGCTTTCTCAATGTCCGAATATAATAGTTAAAAGATATAATGCCTTCCTAATTAATGGTTCAGGTTCCACCGAAATATCGTGAAGATTAAGGAGGACACAAAATTGTGGAGTCGTAGTTACTTCGTCAACTACAAGTTATGCTACTGTCAGGGACAATAATCCGCAGGAAGGAGATGTCGATTATTATGGAAATCTTACGGACATTATTGAGTTAGATTATTATGGAAAACGAAAGGTTGTCCTGTTTCGGTGTGACTGGTTGATGTAAACAGATGCATAAAAATAGATAAATTTGGGTTTACAATGGTGAATTTCTCTCGAATAATTCATACGGGTCAACGTTTGATGGATGAACCATATGTATTTCTTCTCAAGTGAAACAAATATTTTATTGTCACGATCTAATGGATGACGGTTGTATGTTGTGCTCCGAAATACTCCCAGAGACGTGATAGACATCGAGATGGAAGTAGAGATGAAATTGAAATAAGATCAGAATGTGTACCTCTACTACCAAAAACTTAGATGAAACTATCATAAATACAACACAATTTCAATGGGTTCGAGAGGACGTTAATGAAGATATTTATGACAACTGACATTACATAAGAATGTCGTACGAGTTATATCTTCATTTATTTATTTATAATGTTATAACCTTTAACATGTTGTCTTTCTATATTAATTAATTTGTTTTTTATTCACATGTTTGTTTATTACAGATATCATGCTGAGGAGAAAATTAACTAATTTACGGGTTGTTCGAGCTTCTGAAGACCATGAAGAAAGAAATAACGAGGAATCAAATGCACCTGAGTCTTCCGAAATTCCTGAAACTGTTGAAGAAGAAGTAGAAATCCAAGGTAATCTTCGAAACTTAATTTACTACTTTGATCATTTTCAAAATTGACATTTAATAATTTCTTATATAGTTGAAAATGCTGAAACGCGCAAGACTCGAGGACGTACAACTTTGAAGGAATTATATCAACTTCCTCCTGGGCATCGCGTCAAAGTTTCAAGAAACGATGTCGGTCAACCTATTGGCCCAGAAGCACGTCTTCTAGCAGGTTACTTAGGCATAGTTGGATGTAATGCGAATCTGTTATCGAATTATGAGGTCATGGCGCGAAATGCCTAATAGTAACAAAAATCAGGCGTTGGATTTTATTAAGGTAATAATGTCATTATTAGTATATACTCTATTTGTTGTATAGGAGAAATTTTCTTTAGAGGTCTCTGACGATTATGTGAAGCAAGCGTTAGGGAAGAGGAGGGACCACAAGAGCTCTTTAAAGAAGAAATACTTCAAGAATGATCTCAGTCTTGAAGAGAGGCTGCAAACAGTCCCACCTGGAATGCTCAGGTACCAATGGGAAGATACAGTCAGATTTTGGAGTTCATAAAAAGGACAGATATGCTGTATTTTTCAGAAATTATTGTAACGAATTATAAATCATCATTAAAAGTGGTTGTTTGACATTATAGGACCGATAGCATGTTGGTGTCGCTAGCAGGCAACATCAAAAGTTTACGCACACGGCTGGATCAAAGAGTTTTGCTTGTATAGCTAAGAGGAGGTATTATAGATTGACATTGTTTTTTGTATTACATGTACATACAAACTCATAGTAATTATATTATGATATTTGTAGGAAACATCTGGTTCTAAAGTTGGTCGAATCCAACTATTCGACATGACATACGAAGAAGGAGAAATTGGTATGTTTATTGGGTACATGTTTTAAATTTACCTGAATTTATTTATATTTGTACCATGACATTTTTATTTTAATTAATTCACCTTATTATTAGGAAAATTGAAGGAGAAAAGGGCGGAGTATTATGCTTCGGGTTTGAGTCACGGTCTTGTTAATGATGATGACATTGAAAACCGAGCTATTAATGACGTTTTGGGTCCTGAAAGATATGGTCGGGTGCGTTGTCAAGGATCATTTGTTACTCCGACCAAATATTTTTGGATCCAGTTCATCACAATACATGTCATCACAGTATCAATCTTCCCAATTAGAAGTTAGTCGTTTAAAACAACAATTGGCTGATATCACAAATGGCTAACATGAAAGCGGAAAATGAAGCAAGGGAAGCAGCGGCAGCACAGAGAGAAGCAACATCAACGATATGTGAAGATTTGAAAAACTCAATGATGATGAATATGATAAAGAAAACTCAACCTCAAAATCCACCATCATAGACTCTTTATGTTATCAACGTTATGTTATTGTTACTGAACTGTGTTTAATTGAACGCATATTATGTTAATGAAAACTTTTATTTATTATATTGGATTTTATGTTGCTTGTTATGGATATAGAGTTTATGTTATTGTTGTTATGATTGTTGGATAATGAAACAGGTTTGAAAAACAATTTGGGGTAAACGACAATAATATTTTAACTGGTTAAATTTTGTGTTATTTAGCGGCGTTTGTTACAAAAAATGCTGCAATATATCATACATTTAGCGGTGTTTGTAAAAAAAAATGCCGCAAAATAGTAACACATATAGCGGTGTTTTTTCTGTTGCAAACGCCACTATATACCAACCTTTACCGGTGTTTGTATACTAAAAACGCCGCTATATACCAGATCATCAACGGCGTTTTCCTAAAAGCGCCGCTAAATGTCAAAACCTATTGCTGTGTTTGTAAAAAAAACGCTGCGAAATGTCAAAACCTATTACGGCGGTTGTTGAAAAAACGCCGCTATATATCGTTACATTTTGCGGTGTTTGTTATAACGCCGCTGGTATTTTTTGCGGCGCTTATAAACGCTATAGGTAAAAAAAATGCCGCAAAATGCCAGTTTTGTTGTAGTGGAATTACTATTATAACCATTTCAAAAGCTTTTGAAAAGCTACGTCACGCCAATAAGTTGAAAGGTGCTTTCAATTGAATCATCAAGGAGAAGCTAACTGATATACTTATATGGTGTATGGCTAAAACGGTAAAAAATTGCTTCAACAGCTCCGGCTGTACCAAGTAGATGCCCGACAACACCTGTGTATGAAGGCGATTGTACAATTTTAAAAAAGGAATTGGTTAAAGTCGGGAAAGTTATAGCAGGGAAGAAATGAACTACTTCATGAAGTACAGTGCAGTGGCATGTCCAGCACTGGAGAAAGCAACATAAACTTTATCCTTTTCTCCTAGTTCGCTCCCTCTCTTCTTCCCCCAACCCCCAACAACAACACACACCCATCTTTACATAAGAGTAAGAAACTTAGTAGTAGAAGTCGCTCAAAATTGAATGCACATTTCTATTGGTAGAGACGTGAACAGCATATCGAGAAGGTTCTCTCTCGGGAGGGGGGACAAGTTGAAGTTGGCAGTAATCAACTAAGATACTATATCTTAGACATTGGTGGAAGAAAATAACAGGAAAAAAAATTCGACAAGATCAATTTCAACTATTTCGGTTCCGCATATTGATGATAAATAACCAAAGGTAATTTGCCTTAGAACATTTAAGATACTTCTCTCCTAGATCTGGTCCGAATAGTGAAATTTACCTTTGTTGAGGAGAAGACCAAAGCACCAGATGTTGCATGGTCAGTGAATATGGATTTGATTGCATTTGCTTCAATTGCATCACCTAAACAAGATGTTCCAGAGACGTGATTCAAACAAAAACCAGTGTTACGAACTTTAGAACACAAATAACAACAACTTACCCAAAGGTGTAGACGTAGCTGAGCATTCACATAGTCCACTTGGTTAGGATGCGACCAGACTGAAACGGCACAATATTAAGTGCATGATAAACCAAATCTTCCAATTATGTATTGATCTGTCTCTTTTGTCTATGTGTTCTTAGGAATTGTTTACTGGTTTTTTTAATGTTTTATTTCTGGCTTATAATCTTCTATTTTTATCGAACTTTGTAGAAGGTTTTGGATTATGATAAAATTGAGGTACTCTTTCCTCCTTCCGCTACCTACTGGCTACCTTTCAGTGGGCCAAGAAGTATGAAGGGGGGTTTTAAGGAGACCTCATACTCTTATAAAAAAAGAAAAAGATAAGAATATTAGTAGGCAGCTTGTAGGAGTACCAAAGTATAGTGCCAGTGAATGCGACTGTTAGAAACTCTAGAAGCGCTCATTTAAGTGTGAAGAAGCTAACATGCAGCTCTTTATGGTCATGAATTGGTAAGGTTCACTGACAGCTTTTTCTACATTTTCAAGCATTTATTCTCAATCGTGATTGTATATATACAACTGGACTGCTACCAAGACCAAAAGATATGAATATAACATTTGAAGTCGACAATCATATATGTTTATACTTGGATATGACCCTGGGAGCAGAAAAAAGAACCCCCTATACACTGTTATAGACGCTAGACATAAACTGATAGCAAATCAAAAGTAGTCATGAATATTACTTGTTTCAAGGCACGTTCCATGGCCAAAAATGGCACCTCTCCCATCAATATGTGGTTGAGTAATGTGATGAGCATGACCTAGAAGTCATAACTTGTGTTTAGAAAACAATATTACTGAATATTACAGCTGGCATTATTGTAGAATACATTCAGTTCTTTGAAAACAACTTGACATCCCATATCCTCGGACCTCCACATAAAATTTTGCTTCTCGTCTTTTTGCATGCTCAAGGTCCTTAATAGAAAAGGGATTAACCATTATGAAAAATGGAAAATATCACAGACAACAATAGGGAAAGGGGTTTGTGATGAAATACATAAAAAATATAGCTCAATTTACCTCTAATATCAAGACACCAGAACCTTCACCTATACTGGAAAAGTATGATAAGTTAGAAAGTAGCATAAAAGAAATAGTTGTGCAAGCAATGAGCTTGGAGCAGTTAACCAACCAAATTTCACTCACACAACCCATCCTTGCCACTGTCAAAAGGGGCGTGAAGCTTCTACAGGGCAAGAATTATACTTGGTAGTCAAAGCTCTAGCCCTGGAAATGGAAACAAAAAGTAATCCTAAGTAGAATATGAAAGAAGTAAATCAAAGTGATAGAGCACTGAAAGGATAGAAAAATATGTTATCAGTGTAATGGGCTAACCCCCTAATGTTACTTCACACTGCCTAAGGAAGGGATGAAGAGTCAAAATTAACTTCAAAAACTTTTAAGAATCAATTTACTTGAATTTTTGTCCATCTAGATATACAATGTCTCCTAATCATTCTGCTGAAACAATTCTATCAAATATCATTTTTAAAGATGAGAAGCTTTATTAAATGAATGAGAGATATGTCTCTAAGGGTCCACTAACAAGGAGAAGTGACATAATATCAAAAGTTTGGTTCATCATATCTAAACATACTATTTTCATATTGGCCCTCAATAATCTTTCATCACTTCCTGAACTTTTATAAAAATCTTTACCAGCCAAAAAGGAATTGCAGCAAAACAAAAAATAATTAAATTTTTATCGTTACTTGCAAAATCCAACTATTGATAAAGCATCAATACTAGACTCTGTACCACCAGCAACCATTACATCAGCGTCTCCAATTTGAATCATCCTCATAGCATCACCAATAGAATGAGCTCCAGTCGCACAAGCAGTTACTGCAGCATGGTTTGGTCCCTATATTCAAAAAGTGATTAACTATGAAAAATAACATTTACTTTAGGAGTAATTTTATTTTCTGTTAAAAATTGTAAGAGAAGTTTAAGTCATCAATCAACTACTTATTGAGGAACTGGCCCCTAAACTACTAATTTAATGGCTAGTTGGCTACTTGGTGTAATTGTTAACAATCTGCAATATTAATTTCAAATTTGAGAACAACTAAAATTTTATTCAAACTCAAGCATGTTGTTTCCGGAAATGACGTGACAGATGAACTAGGTTTAGGTCATTATAAAGCTACAGGCATGTCATATATAAAAAATTAAAATACATACTCACCTGGAATCTGTATTTCATGCTCACGTGACCAGATGCCATGTTGATTGAATCCTTGGAATGAAAAATGGCTTAGTCGATGAAGACGCTGTATTAAAAGAGCAGAGATTTCACTTGTCTTATTAATTTTTCCATACCCATGTAGTTCATTTTCCAGCCCATAGCTGACATGAGAAAAGGAATGATGATGACACCATGAGCTAGTGATGATAATAGAAATACTTACAATCATAAAGACAAATGCATAGCTGCAAGAAACCAACCTTCTCACAGATCATTTGTGCAGCATTTAATATATCACAAATGCTTCCAGTCCCACCGCCTATAGAGACTCCCTAGTTACCCACAATTAATGAAGAAAAGATAGCGAAAGGGAATAAAAGATCTATATCACATATATCACTATCAATAAGTAATTACCGTTCTTTACTTCTCTTCCTGATCAGTGGGTACCCTGTGTGCATCTTTTAGAGCTCATTAGCAGCACATAATGCATAGCTTATAAATCTCACAACTGATCGTTGATCCTGAACAAAAAGAATCATTAATGTAGTTACATAAAATAAAAATATGTCACACATTAACTAGTATTGCAGGAAAAAAGAAGAAGAGTGTATCTTCATTAGTATAAATAAGTAATCTAGCATCAGATTTGGCACTGCACATCACTGGGTATACTAAACAACTAGAGGTTCTGAGGTGAGAAAACAGAAATCACATAAGGTACAGTGGAAACCTGTTGCAAAGAACCAATGCCTTTTTTCTATCTTCTATCTTTAATTGCCCAAGTTCTTGCTAAGAATGGAATTACCACTTACTTGAAAAGTAACATCCAATGTAATGTCACTGTCCCCTTCAAAATTTACTTAAAACTTATTCCATGATCTAGAGTTCCAAAACAAACTCTCACCTCAAAATCACCCCATCACTATTTATTACTTCAACAACCCCAAAACTCAGCTCAAAATTCCACATGACAAAGTAACAGAAAAAAACACAATACAATCAATGGGGCATCAACCAAAGTCACAAGGGGATTACTTTAGCGTTAATCCAAAGGTCCTCATTGAATTCAGCAGGGCCAGTCCCACAGGGCCAATTGCAACAACTTTAGAAGTTAAGCGATCGAAGGTAAGCATATGAGTTTGTTATCAAAAGCATTCATCTTTAGATCCTCTGGGGTCACTGCCCTTATCCCAAACTTGCCTTCTATCAAACGTTTCCATGTTGTTTCTACTCCGCAGCCGAGTGAGTCACCAAGCCAAGCCTTGAAACCCAAAAATAAATAACCACCAACTATTCCGAGAATTGGTTCAACAAGAACTGCTACCTGAGAAAAAAATTAAATTTTCATATGAGAAGAAATGAGGTATAGTACCAGTGACGACCACCCTCCGGGGAGGAAAGAGGAGGAGGTGGGAGAGGGTTGAAGAAGAGAGGTGACGAGCCAGTGGAAACGACATGTCGTTTGAGATTATGCCAAGAGCCCCTTGCCATGCCCACCGCTTTGGTTTGTCCGTACAGGCAAAAGGGTTTAACTTCGTTTGAGCGAAACTCCAAATCCAACTTATCGTCATAAAAGTGCAACTCACGGTCAATTGGGATTCCGAACAGTTTACTGCTACTTTTTACTTACTACTACAATTTTCACTCCAATTAAAATCATTTTTATGTTTTTGGGGGAAAAACATATTTCATTTTTAAATAATTATATTTTCCTTTAACTTAAAAATTGAATATATTTTGTTAGTTGTAAACAAAATCTATTTTGAAAACTAAAAATATGAAAGCACGCTTGGTATGTAATTTCAGATGAAATAATTATTAAAGGTAAGTATAGTTTTTAGATAAAATAAAATTATTAATGTAATAAGAATAAACAAATTAAATAAAGATTTAGTTGGATCAAAAATAATATAACATTTTTAGCAATAGACATGTTCATTTATATTAATAAAATAAATTTATATAAATTTGAATCAAAATAAGATAATTAATATTTAGAAAGTCTTACATTCATTTGAATTTATAATTAAATTTTAGTTTAAAAGTATTGTTTTCCAATATATTAATGATTTAATTTTTTGATATTTTATCTTCTGAATTTTAAAATTTTAACGAAAATTAAATTTTAAATTATTAAATATAATATGTTGGTTATGATAAAAAAATATTGTAGCGATGCAATGTATTTATTATGAAAATATATATATATATATTATTTATAAAATTAAAATGTTTTTTATACTATACATTTGTCAATAATTTCTTAGCTTGTAGAAATTTTTAAATCTAACACTTTAATGAATTTAAATTTATTAATCTCAAGAGATTTTTTTGAATTAATATAAAACAATATAGTTTATTAATATAATTCAACGATGAGAAATTATGTTAAATATTTAATTAAAAAAGTTTTTTCTTACTTTTTGGTGATTTTCCCGAAAAATCACCTTTTCGTTACATATTTACGTGTCAAACACCCTTTGAGATATATTTTCTGATCTAACACCCTTTGCAGAAAGACGCGGCTTATGCATCGTTTCTTATGCCACGTAGGGTAAGACGCGGTGCATGGGTCGCGTCTTTCTGCCAACTGACACACGTCAGAATGGCGCGGTGCATAGGTCGCGCCTTTGCTTTTAATTCGGTCCCAACCGACCGTTTACACCCTCCATCCCACCCTATAAATACCTCCCTTTCAATTATTTTCAACACACAAAATTCTCTCAAATCTTCTCAAATTCTCTCAAATCATGTCAAAAACCAAACCTCGTTCAATTTTTAATTATTTTATTTTATTCTATTTAATATTTTTTTAGTATTTTTTTAGAATGGCGAAGGTGATCTGCTTTATTTGGATGGAAAACATATATCGAGACATTTTACTGATATGGTAACATTTTTAAATTTTAATTTAATTTAAATTTTTAGTAATAATTTATTTATTTAATTTTTTATTATTAGTTTATAAATTGATTTTTGTAATTATTAATATTTTTAGTAGAGCAACCGTATATTAGATCATTTTATCCTCAACCTTAAGTTAACGATACCAACTCGCGTCTGGCCATATTTAGTCGAGGTTGGATTCAGTTACATAGCTAGATATGAAGGCCATTGTAGGATAGAACCAAATCTGATTTATGCATTAGTCGAGCGGTGGAGACCGGAGACACACACATTCCATATTCTATGCGGAGTGCACGATTACACTGGAGGATTTTCCATGCACTTGGGGCTTTTGGTGGATGGAGATGTGCTTTCAGGGTGGCACACGGTAACTAGAATTCTTTGTGCCGGAATAACTAGGAGGTGTCCCGCCAAAGTTTAACGGTGGACGGATTCCGTTAAATTAATTTGATGCAAATTTCCAGAATTTGAGTGAGGACACCTCGGAGGATGAAGTTAAAAAGTACGCACGGGCATGCATACTACACTGATAGGAGGGTTGCTAATGCCGGACAAATCGCACAACCAAGTTCATTGTATGTGGTTGCGGCATCTTGGTCATTTTCATCTAGCTGGATCACTAAGTTGGGGCTCGACAGTTTTGGAATTCTTGTATAGGGAGATGTGTCGAGCTACTACTACAGGAAAATGCTATCAGCGGATGTCTCCTTCTGCTGCAGTCTTGGGTATGGTATCGTTTGCCCTTTTTATGTCCTGTTATGAAGAACAAGTTCGTATTCCCGCTACTATTGAGGCAATTACAAACTGATTTCATGTATTAATCATTTTATCTAGTGTATAATAAAATTATTTCCTTGAATAGGTGGTCTATTGACAGGAAAAATCGAGATCTACCTGATGAATTAGAAATAATCAAGCTACTAATTGATCAGAAGGCTGGCATAGGGGTATGTATTTAAATGTTTGAAAATCTATTTTGTATTATAGTTATATATTAGATTATTATTTTGATAAGAATTATATATATTCATTTTAGTTTGAATGAGCTCCTTATTGTAATAATGATATGGGAGGATCGACGTCGGTGTATTCCCCATAGAACATGTCCGCTCTTTGTGAGTACTATAAATTAGTGCGGATATATGTGCAGTATACATCGAGCAAGTAATAAGTGATAAGTAGAGTATCGTCTCCACAGGGAATTGGAGGAAATCAAATAGGTTTGTTAAGGCACTTTACTTTGTCACCTAAGTAAAGTTAGTGATGGTATATACAAATGAGAATGTTGTGGCAATATGGAATGACTTGTGTGGAAATGGATGATGGCAGTGAGGTAGCAATTGATTATGTTGCGGCAAATTAAATTGTGATACATGCAAACAAATGGAAATGTCAAGGCAAAATGAATGCAATTACTAGATTTAATATATATATAGGACATTAGCTTTCTCACACGACAAGCAAGCTATGAGAATGAGTGGTAGGAGTCACTAAGAAATCTAAGTCTATTTCTCTGAATGGTATTTCTTCTATGCTTAACCTGCCCGACAGAGTCTACAGAGGTTCCCTATGCTATCTCCAGTAAGGGACTCGACAGATTAAAGCCCTGGCAAAACCAATTGGCGTAAACCCCTACAGTGATCCTATGGTCCAGAACAGGATATGTCTCGGCAATACCTTTTTGCGGCAACATTAACATCTAACCTACCATTTTTGTACAGATCCTTTTAGTCGAATGAAATCCTAGTCTTATCTCTAAGGTGGATTAGGCCTAGTTACTATCTAGAACCCCTTGTTTATGTAGTTCATCCCTAGCTTCTCTCGAAGACTAAAGATTTTTGCCGAGGTATTCTCTCGAACCTAGCATCTTCTAAGGAAAGGCTACTCTCGTAGCTCCTACAATCTTAAAGCATTAAGTTTCATAAACAAAACAGATTAAAGCATATAAACGACCATTCATTGAAATAAAACTTAAACATCCAAGCGAACTCCCACCAAATAGGATTAGTTCATGGTGGGGTTCGAATAAACAAGCACAAAGTAGTTCAATCGTTCCTTACAACCCAATAACAAATATGTAAGCAAAGAACTAAGGAGAGGAGAGAAAGCCTTCAACGTGCACTGCCCAGTGCTTCCCTCGGCCACCAAGAACTGCTCCTAATGGACTGGCTCCTCTCGGACGCTCAGAACGCCACTCCCTCAGGCTTGTCAATGAGAAATGCCACGGCAAGTGAGATTGACGGAGAAAGATGAGATATTCTCTCTCTAACTTTTTAAGCTCAAATCTAGGTGGAACTAAAGTCTCTAACATTGTGGCTTCATCCTCTATTTATAGAGGAAAATTAATCCTTGAACTAAGAGTTGACTTTCCTAAACTATGGTTAACTTGCTTGGGAGTCGGGCAAGACAGGTGATGATACAGCCTGGGTAGCTGGCATGAGTGATCGGCATAATCCCGTTACAGGCGCTCAAGGACAAGATCTGCAGGGTCAGGCGGCGTCATCAGCAGAATCGATGGTTGCAGTGTCGGTCCTCCAGGCGGATCTTCGAGGTGGATTTCTCGGGCAGAACTCTCGGACAGTTGGATACAACTGGCTTCAAAAATATCTTTTCGCACTTTAAACATTATCAAAATACCGGTTGAACTTGGCAAATTCATTTTTCTCAGTAATCTCCTTATATCACATCATTTTCTTTCCTCTTTTCCTTGCTCTCAATACTTGCACATCATCAGACAAGTACCTTTCCCATAAAGCAGCACCGCTGTAAAAATAAAATGCCACGGCAAATCGAAATTCACCACATGCAACTAAATGCTTCTAAATGCATCTATATATTCCTAAATGAGCCTTTAGACAATCAACAACTTAAATTAAAGGTCCCAAAATATGACCTATTACGGAGTTATCACACCCCAAACTAAGCTATTGCTTGTCTGCAAGCAATTGATAGTAATAAGTAAACAAAATACAATGATAAGTTCAGAAGCAGAATAGTCTTATGGGATAAAATTTCAGCCCTCAGCACAAATGGCTTCAACATGCTAAACTAGGTCGATAAATCTGGTACTGTCCCCTAGGGCAAGATTCTTTGTGTGGGTGTGTGCGTTTTTGTATCCAGTCCATGCTTAGTAAACTTAAAAATTTTCTAAGCAAGCTTTCTTATTTTGCCATGACATTTTCAAAATCTACTTCCACCTTGCCTTTCTTTTCTTTTATTAGTTCTGCTACGAGGGGAGTCAGCTCATCACTCTATCATCCCACACTCTAGGTGAAAGGAAGCAACATTCCACCCCCGAGCTAGTCAGGTAAGTCATCCCGTGACATCTTTCATTCACTCATATGCCAT